AATGAATTAGTTACTTACAATATTGCTCTAAGCTTGTGGATGTGACAGTGATTCAACGCAAGCACATATGTCAGTCGGCATCTCACGTCAAGTTCGTAAAGAGCTTTATTCAGTCCATTTTACAATCTGATTTTGGCCGCCAGCTCCTCAGATGGGTCAAACCAAAGATATTACCTCAGAACTTCAAGTAAATGAACTAGAAACTCCCGCTCATTCAAGGCTGTGCATCTATAGAATGGAAGGAGAGAACGCGCTGAAATCATCAGACATCCAATAGTGCATGCGAGGGAAACAGCTGGAAACAGCGCTGGTCGTTCTCTCCATACTCAACAAGACGGAATCCAACGGCGTGCACGGGCAAAGGTATAATACATGTATTAAATTGTATGAAATAATCCCGGGAAAAGCACAAACACAGCTGAGGGTGACGCTAACAGACAGCAGACAAACGACTAGCAGTGAAAGCGGCTGCAAGAATCCACCTGTCACTCAAGTGGCCACGCCCTTAATTATGCAAAACTATAAGGCTTAAAAATAATTTAAACAGATGAGTTGTAAAAAAATCCCCCCCCCCCCCCACAGTCGTCATAAAGGGCAAAATTAGCGATATAGACCAAAACAACTATTTGCCACCAGGCTGTAAACATGTTTTTTTCTGCTGTGAAGTTAGACATTTTAACTTGGTGGAGATACATATTTGACTCGCTTTTGCAGCCAGCCTCATGCGGTCACTCGATGAATTGCAGTTTAATTCACTTCCGTGTTGGCCCCTTGGCTTTAATACACAATTGAGCGACTTTCAACTTTCTTGTATGGTAGAAAAACATGTTGCTTGAGCTTTAAAAATGGAACGTATACCTCACGGGACAATCCACTATCCATATTAAAGGGTTAGTTCACCCAAAAATGAAAATTCTGTCAGTATTGACTCACCCTCATGTTGTTCCAACCCCGTAAGACCTTCGTTCATCTTCGGAACACAAATTAAGATATTTAAGATATTAAGATCACTCCTGCATACAGTCCATAGGCTTCTTGAGGGAGTGACTCTTGCTGGCATCGAAAAGTCATTAAAGACATCGTTAAAATAGTCCAAGTGACTACAGTGGCTCAATTTTAACTTTATCAAACGACGAGAATACATTGTGCGCAAAAACAAACAAAAATAACGACTTTATTTCAACTATTCACTTCCTTCTCTATGGGCCTGTAATCAGTGTGATTGCGTAAAGCTACGTCACACGTAGGCTCACTATTGGCCGACGCTGGTCATGTGTGTGATGCGTGTGACGTACAAACAATAACAGAAGCTTACGCTATTAAACTAGTAACCTGACTCGCGCAGAGGGAGAAATAAACGAATAGTTGAAATAAAGGTGTTATTTTTGTTGTTTGTTTGCGCACAAAAGTGTTCTCGTCGTTTGATAAACTTAAGATTGAGCCCCTGTAGTCACTTGGACTATTTTAATAATGTCTTTAATGACTTTTCGAGGACAGCAAGTCATTCCCTAAAGAAGCTTATGGACTAGTATGCAGGAGCGATCTTAATATCTTAAATATCTTAATTTGTGTTCCGAAGACGAACAAAAGTCTTACGGGGTTGGAACAACATGAGGGTGAGTAAATACTGACAGAATTTTCATTTTTGGGTGAACTAACCCTTTAAAGATGAACTGAACTGAAAAAAATCGACGATGAAAACGTGTTGTTTATGACAATTAAAAGTAAAGTACACTAAACATTTTAATAAAAAATATTAATATAGCTTTTTATAAGCAACGCAAAATTGCGCTCGTTAGCGCTGGCAATTTCGATGACGTCACTGGCATGGTAGGACCCGCGGAGCTCCATAAACAACAGCTGCAGGTCCCATATACACAGACGAAAATGCGCACTTTTAACGGCATGGATTACGCATTTGAGCCCGCGAGGGACAGGCCGGTAGTGTCTGACTACCACCACATGGAGGACGATCAGTTTTAGGCTTCACTTACAGTACAGGATCGTTTGGGGAGAAGTGACTGTGGACGCGAGCGCTGTGGAGAATTGCATACTGCACAGGAGTCTTTTGCAGAGAGGTCAACCTGGAACATTTATTGATCGGCGAAAAATGCATCACCATGCACCGTTCATTTCGGATGTTGTTCGGTGAGAGAAACGTGTTGGGGGCGGAGGCTATGCTGTCTATAATAGATGTCCGAGCTGAGACGCGAGCGCCCCATCAGTAGCAGGGTATTTTACGAATAGGCGACTAGGCTGGGCTAACTTGTTATACTTTTCTCAGACTGTTTAGATTAAAGGCGGGCATACACTGTGCGATGTCTGTGCGATTTCAGCAAGGTACCTACTCACACTGAACGAGTAAATCGCATGCGATGCAAAGCCAAAGTTCAGGATTTATGTGCTCACACTGTACGGTCCGATCGTCGAGCTGCGACTTCACTGCTCACACTATACGTGTAATATCTGCGATAACCCCCTGGATTGCGCCTATTTACGTGTATGTATCCAGAGATATTGTCAAAACAAGCATCTGCTATCAGTATCAAGATGATTTAGTATTTTCAATTTATGCATTTAATTATTATTATTATTATATTATCATTATTAGGGGAGGCCTATAGGCTAATTTTACTATTAAACTGATCCGCTATTATAATTAATTTGCCACGCAATATTTTCACAGCTGCTGTGAGGATAATAAAATATTAATCTTACTCCTCATTAAAAATTGTCTAAAACATTTAGGTCGATTACAATGAATTATATACAAGTAAAATAACTATTAACAGTCTATAATATGTCCGAACATTGCCATTATTAATCATCAATGAAAATTAAAAACAGGTTTATTTCAAAAACATTGTTTGACAAAATAATATTTAAAAGAGGTGTTACATATCAGGTGGCTTGAAGACGGTGGGTAATATTATCCATTTTGCAACACGAACTGGAGGTAAGCAACAGTAATTTGTAGCTTGTTTTTATTTTAATTTTATTTTTGCTGCAGATGAAATGGTTTAACTTCTGATTTCGCGCAGGTGCAGTGAGGGAAAAAACTGAGTTTAGGGCAATCGGTTCGTAGCTTTGCTTCAACTGTGCGATATAGTCACGAGGAGCGACCAAAATTTCTGACATGCCAGAAATTCATCCGACCATCCGATTGTCGATCGTGAGAGGTTAATCGCCTCTCGTTTCTCCCTGTACACTGCACGAACACTGCACGACAAACGACGCACGACAAAGCTGAAAATCGGTCCGACACGAAAATGAGTCGCACGAGTCAGAATTCGGCTCAAAATCGGACGAAAATCGCACAGTGTATGCCCGCCTTAACAGCGCACTCTCAGTTCTCTCTATGGGCGAGGGTGCATTTAGAAAGGAGAATCCCATTCTTTACCGTGAACTATACATCAGGAAACTTTTCCCCTCAGCCGAATATCAAGGATTCAAGTAACGTTAACGTGATGTGTTGAACTTGTAACTTGTGTAAATAAAACATTTAATGCAGACATCGTCAGACGTTTCATGTACTCATTGACGAAAGTACATATCTCTAGATAGTGTGTCGCTAAAAATTCTGTTTCTTCAGCCATGTCAGCACGCCTCAGACTGTTTACAAGCTACAGCTGTTCTGCTGGGGCGGGTAGGCAACGGAGTGGCTTACCATCCCAGTGACGTAGTCGAATGTTGAAATCCAACATGGCGGCGCCCGTGTAACAAAAACAACACTTTCAATGTACCATTTTATCCCTTTTAACAAATTCTGCCATTTTAAAAATTGTACCAATGATAATTAATAAAATACAGTACATCTGTTATATCACCTTTTTTCAAATTTCAGTTCAGTTCATCTTTAAGAAACTTTTCTCTGTGTACATTTGCATCAGATGAAACATTCCTTTCCTTGTAAAGGACATGCCAGCATTACACATTTGAAGTATCATCATCAGTTGAACATCTCGGCTCAGTGAACATGTTCCATTGCACAAATACCTCTAAGCAAAATAAAGCTCATCCCAGATCTCTAATCAGCACACATGTACAACATACTCTGACCTCACAAAATACATTATGAGAATTATTTTGAACATGAATAAAGAAAAATAATACAAAAAAATAACATTTAAACTATAAAATCATATTTTAATGTTCCGAAGCAAATGTACAAACCCAAAATTATAAAATTTCTTTTATTCTCTGTTCGATCTGTGATATATTTATTGTGTGTTGCCTTGCTTGTCTGTGTATTTTCTTTGTATTTGTATTATGGTCATTAAACTTTGTGTTGGAATTATATTTATCATTTTCGTCTGCCTTCCTGCAAAAGCCTGTGACACTACGAACATCACTTTTGGCCTCTGTATGCGAATATGTTCAGAATAGAGACAAAGGAATATTGATGGGGTAAATTGCATTGTCTCACATGACAAAAGGGACCATATCCTCAGAACATTTGCATATATTTTGTAATCAACTTGTATTGGGTAATAGGTATACATGTTGTTCAAAGCATTCATTTTTTTTAGAATAATTTTGGGCTTGTGCTTCAAATGTGTGGATATGTGTCAGCTCCAGACATGCACTACATCTTATTTGATGCAACATTTTTTTTTATCACAGAATGAAGAAAAAATAAGACTCATTCACCATAGAAAAAAAGACTCCTGGATTTAGCTATTCACCTCGGTGTGAATAGCTACATAGGATTATATTGTTTCTATTTTACTGTCCCAAATTATTTGTTTAGTGTTGAAAAACTACAGCTAAACATATGAACTTCCTGCTCAGCCAATGGTGTGACTTTATGGTGGGACTACATATTTGCCCAAAGTGTGTTTAAGAAATCTGCTTGGGTTATTATTTTTGTCATCGATTTGATGGATTAAATATTCTTATACGCTGAGGCAGAAACAGTGTTGACTTGAAACATGCATGCAATTATAAATATTTTTTAAATATGTGTAATTATACAAACCTTTTTTTTTGTCTTATAACAGCAAGTGGTGTCAGCATTACGAGTAGGAGTGAACCCTTCCGGAAACTCGTCCAATCAGAGCAGTTTATGGGACCTCAGCAACTCCTTCTTCTTCGCTGGAACAGTTATTACAACTATAGGTACTAAAGTACACAAACTCGCATGCAAGCACATTAGCAAACACTATATTACTTTTAATAAAACTCATGAAGAGTGTAGCGGCAAACAGTAACCGCTAAGAGGCTGAGTAGAGGGAATAAAAGGTGACGCGTTTCCACTGCAGATCCAAATGATTTATTGTAACATTGAAATGAACATGATGGATGATGACTAAAAAGTAAACCAAAAGTAATGAAATAGAACAAAACTAAAATGAAATGAAAACGGTCAACAGAAAGTGAGCGTCCCAGCTACTCACCCCCTTCCAACCTGCTAACCACACACAAACTAACAGGTAATATGCACCTACAACAAATGACGTAACAAACTGAAAAAACAAATTTCAAAATAAAAGACACCAACCTAAACCTGGCACCTACAAAGAGGATGACAAAAAATACCTTGGATATGAGCAAGAGTGAGCGTACCGAGTAATTGTGCAGAGAGAGTGCAATCAGAGCAGCATATGAATGGCTTGCAATCTACCGTCTCTTCAAAAGTGTCCATTTGCAAGCAGCAGAAAGCCGCCTTGATGTGACGCACATACAGTAGATTCAAGTGTTGTTCAGTCCGCTGCGCATAATAGCACCAACTTAAAGATGTAAGTTTCGCTGCTAGAGGTCGCCTATTCAAAAACAGTACTAAAGGCATGGCTTGATGATGACGTGACTGAGCCCGAGACTGAGCGTGGAATCATGGGAGGTGTTGTTTTCACCTCCACAGCCAATTGAAGGCAATCTGACTAAACTTGTGTTCATAGATGAACTAATGTATTAAAGGGGACATGTCATGCAAAATCCACTTTTTTAGCCCTTAAATGCATTTTGTTGTATATTTGGAGTGTTTCTAAGTACAGAAAAGATGAAATTATTCTCTTTAGGTGCTTCGTTTATATCTTTATATTCTGTTTTGGTCATATTTTTCAACCTGTTCAGATTTTTCTGTTGTCTATGACGTTTTTTGAACTATCCGCTGTATTTGCAGCGGAACTGACAAATAAAGACATTGACTACCGGTCCAACACTTCGAGCAATCCGCCATTATTATATCGCTCCGATTTTGTAGTCCGAGCTCAATGATGCAGAAGTTACGAGAGGGCAAGTCAAAATGTTCGGTTGTTGGATGTACGTTAGTGACTTGAAGCACTTCAAGGATTCCCACTTCAACAACCTCCGCCATTATAAAGAATGGTTTGCTGATCGACTTCGTCTGAATGAGAGGTAAATTCCTTCTATCTTTGGAGACGATGAACAGAGCATTTCGATAAGCTGTAAATGTTGTTAATAAAAATAAAGTACTTTACTTTCTTAAAACACATGGTGGTCATGGTTTAGCAGTACCTTTGTCTTTCTTTGTTTTTGTTTTGAAGTAACGTTACATGTCTGCAGGATTATTGTTCTTGAGTTTCATCAATGGTCATTTAGCTGCTGTGTTTTCTGACGCTTTTCTAAACGTATCATATTGTCAATACAGATTTTTTGTGGTAAGATTAGACCGTAGTCATTTATCTTGTCAGTGTGCTTGTTTTAACAAGAGAAATAGTCGACTTTCACTAATAACACAAAACAGTTAACTCGCATACCAATACATCCATATGAAGAGGTTGTTCTGTAGGTTCGTCGTCGTCTTTATCGCTCGCTCTGGCTCGAATATGTAAGGCTTGATGGACAAGTCTTCTGTGACATTTTATTAAAGGTGGAATACCTAAGATTTTTACATTAAAATATCCCAAAATCACAAGGCCAGTGTTATATATTTAGTTAAGATGATAACTTACAATATTCCAAATGTTTCAAACAATGTTTAAATCGCGAGAAAATTGAGATTTTAACCAAGGAAACGGGGCGTGTGAGCAGGGGTGAGCTGGGAGTCGCGAGTCAATCGCGTCATATCCGCGTTACCTCGGTTTCCGCTCGTACTACGTGTAGTCCTGGACAAATGCGGTAGTTGTAGTTGTGCGTTAGCGTCTATCAAGCAACAAACGTCAGCTTGTTTCGCGCATTTGTTATGGAATGGAGCACAATTATTCTTTTCATTTATTCTCGGAACGTGAACTGTTGGCTGTAAAGGGGGTCGCACACCGGACGAGAAGCGCCGCGTCACGTTTAGGACAACTCCACAGTATCGAACACCGGACGCGCACTTTCTCATCAGTGTATGGCCAGCAATATTGTTATATTTAATGACATGAAATGAAGATAATGTCTGTTCTATGTCATGATTATACTGTACAATTAAATACAATCGTTTGCTGAGTCTGCATTCTGAAAACTTTACCTCAGAGAATCCGTTCACTGAATGAATTGAGAATCTCACCTGAAAAATCTAATACCATCAGCAATTGTCATTCAAGCTGCTGATTTCTGTAAATGACTGCAAAACTAAATGCATATTGCAGCATAGGGCGAAGTCAGGATCCATTAGCAACGATTTGAGACAATAAATTTCATATAAAACTATGTAAATGGCGCTCTGTGGCGCAGCAGGATTTTGAACACGGTCCTGAGGCGTTGCTGGGCGCCGCCGGTATGTGTACACTTACAGATAATAATGTGTTCGAATTTTAAAGATGTGGCGCGGCGCGGCGCTGAGCTTCTCGTCCGGTGTGCGACCCCCTTAACGTTAATTTTGTGAAACTGTAGCTGTGGTTAAATACTTACACGACATGAAATGTCAAATGTACATTAAATTGATTTTTTATTTTTATAAAGTTACCAAAAAGAAGGACCAGCCACGTCAACCCCTTGCAAGAGACCTGCCCCTTCAAACCCTCTCCACCATAGCTTCGTCCAGTGACTCGTACAGTAACATCTGTGATAACTAATTTACTTTTAAACCTGACTTTTCTTGCAGTTATAACTTATTTCAGCTTAATGAAAAACAAGCATGTCATTAAACGCAACATTTATAGAAATCGAACTTTACCTCATCCATGACAACTAATTTTCGATTCCCTTCTGACTGATTTATCCACGGTGGAGTTGAAAACAACAGTTCCCATCATTCCGCGTTCCTCCACGTCATCATCAAGCATGTTCATCTGTGCTGTGCCGTTTCTGAGGGTTTTGAAGTACAACTCACGTAAAGGTGAAGTACAAGTCACTTAAAGCAATTGCAGATTTCGAACAGAGATGGCGACAAAGAGGAAAAACGACGGACTGCAGGTTTAAATTAACGTTTAACATTTCCCTCCTTACCTGAATTTAAAGGGTCCTTTTCACGTTTCAAATCACGGAAAAAGATGACACTGACGCCCACAAAGTTACTTGCGTTTCGCATTTGATACTTGCTGTTAAAATGGGGCCCTAAGAGTTTAACTAACACAACTAAAAAGTCCTAACTAGGCTAATATAAAGTAGGGGACATACATAATATATCATATACATTCTGGGATAAATTAAAGAGAGCACCCATCATGGATTTTTGAAAATGACTGTTCATGTAGTGTGGAATGTATCTCTAAGGGAATGAAAACATCCTGCAAAGATTTATATCTGAAAGTGCACCGTATATAAAGTTATTGTCTTTCAAAAGTGAGAGTCGACTCTGAGTCTATGAAGTGAATTGGTTTTGAAACGAGTCATTAGCTGTTTCGTCGTGACGTACCTGTAGATACGAAACATTGGCATATTGACCGCGACCAGTTACTGCGCGCACAGCCGGAAGTGTAAACTTGGAGTCTAGAACACATTCAAATACTTCAGCTAAATCACATCATGTCGAGAAGACGCTGTGTTCTGCATTGCAAAGACAGTTCAGCCACTTGTTTTCTATTGTCCAGGGACGAGCATATGAAGAATCAGCGGTCAGAGTTCATATTTGCAACGATACCACAACAGTATAGCCCGAACCTTGTGTTCTCATCATTTTAATGACGAATCATTCGCAAGCCGGTTGTTCCTGAAGGAGGGCTCAGTATCCAGTGTGGTTCGTCCTCCTCCGAATCACAATCTGTAATCTGTAATGTTTGCTGTTTTGTTTTCTGTAGCATGTACAATATAGTTATTGTGTTGTGTGTGTTGTGTACACTCCGCGCAGCTTCTAAGCGGGGTAAAGTTAGTTTTGTTTTTTGATATTCACCAGACATTCATTGAAAAAGGACAATTACGTCCTAAACGACTTAGCCAAATCGGACTTCGCTCTATATAATAAGCACTGCCCCTCAAAAGCCGCTGCAATGTGAGTTTCACGGGGAAAGCTTGCTCTTGACGGAGACGCGAGTAAGGGACCATGTGGAAAGTGCACTTTTTCTGACACGTTTGTTCAAACACTATATACAATTTTCAACACTTGACAAGATATAATCCTGTTTATGGGCGTTCCGTTGCCGACAGTCTCTGCCTACGGTTTACCAATAACAACTGACTGGGTCATTTGACCAATCGCCGCAGATTCGCGTCACTCAAAGGAGGTGTTTGGGAAAATGAATCGTCGAACGAATCATTTGGGTGTCGTTGAGCAAATCAGTTAAAAATAAATGCATATTATAAGACAAATCATGTGTTTTTTATCCTTGCATGCACGTTAAAATGTTTTTGGGAACTCCTAAAACAAAAATAGGAACATTTCAAATGCTATGATAGGGGCTCTTTAAGTATGAGTTAAATGAAAGAATGTCTATGTGAAGCTTTGAGTTGTTTTCTGTGTAGCATTTGCCAGGCAACTAAAGTGACAATGGGGGCAATTTGATCCAGACTCATCGGTGCTAGGCCTGTGATTTATATGAAGAAGTACAAAAGGTTAAACGCTGTCTGAAGCTTAGAACTGAATCGGTCATCGTTATTCAGTCCAGGCGTTCATAATGTCATTACTGCTGTGCTGTTTGGAAATGTCAGAAGTTTAAGCTTTATGTTAATTTACCCAGACAGCAAACTGACATTGAATCAACGTGGAAACGACGTCTCTCATGACATCGAAACAACGTTGATTTTGCTCATCGAATTAACGTTGAACCAACGTCAGACGCGGCATTCTTCAAAGCTAAATGAAAATCGAAAATTGGTTTGCTTTCATAACGTTGAAACAACGTTGATTTCAAGTTGATTTTCCGTTAGTTTTGAAAGAATGACGCGTCTGGCGTTGGTTCAACGTTAATTCGATGAGCAAAACAATGTCAGATCAACGTTGTTTCGATGTCATGTTTCCACGTTGATTCAATGTCAGTTTGCTATCTGGGTTAACCACTGTATCAAATAAATACTTGGGGTTGTGTTTGTTTTCTTCGAACAGTTTTTAAGGCCTTTCTGTACGCAATCGTGCTTTTGAAAACCTAGGGGAACTCTCTGGAGTTAGCTGTGCAAATGGAAAGGATAGAGACTACTGATATATCCTTTTGCAGAGATTAATGGATTGAGTGATTGCTTAAGCAACCGTTTAGCTCCAAAGAACAAATCTGAATGAGTGGATGATGCACACCATCTCCTTTTCTTCCCGTAAGTCTGGGGATTGGCATGTGTAAATTACACTCACAAATTCTAATTAGCCTTTTCTCAAAGTATCAGAAGTGTCCCTTTAGTCATCGCTGCATCTCTCTCTCTTCTTAAGGTGCTTTTGGTGACCAGATTTATAGGCTGTACATTCTCTACTATGCATGTTTTATGATAATCTTCTATGGCTACAAGAGTTCAAATAAATAACGTAAGGTTCACCAATTTTATTATCATAGCTTAACTTGTAACTTGAACAAAATGAGTTTAGAACAAAAAAGAAATACAAAATATTTGCCACCATCACTCAATCAGTATGCATTGAGGCAGACACGCATAACTCATATCACTTGATAGGCTTTCTCGTGATGAACATCTTCACCTCAAGAGAAATTGAATAATAATAATAATGTTTGCAAATTAGAGTTGTCAAAAAGTACCGACTTCAGTACCAGTCGGTACTGTAATTTTAAAAATGTGACGCTTTGAGCGCTGTTGAGCAGAATCGTAAACACCTCTGATTGCCTATTGTACTCACACACTCATCGGGCACAGTAATTCAGTGGTTCTCAAAGTGGAGGACTTGAGGATACTGTTTGTGCAGGAGATACTCATAAAAAAACAACCATTGCAACAGAGTTCAAGTATGTGAATAGCGATTAGCGCTCTGCCTTAATAAAGCATCGGGCGGCAATTACAATGAATCATTCTGCAGACCTGTTGAATTGTCAGCATTGGAACAAGCCCAACATAGAAGTTGCTCACCATAGAAAAGCACCTCTTCAGCAGACCGAATCACAATCTGCTATTGTACTGCTGTGCGTTCCGGTGAAAAGACGAACGAGAAGCTGAGCTTGCGACGTGAGGCGCTGTCAAAAGCAGTTATGCTTTTATATACAGTATTGTTCATCCAAAGCATCACTGAAATATTTAAATGTTTTGTCAATTCAAACTTAAAAGTTAAGTTCTGTATTATTATTCTCTCTTACTGTTAAATTATATAAAGACATTACAAAGTGAAGGGGTTGGGGGTTGGACAATGAAACTGAAACACCTGGTTTTACAACACAATAATTTGTTAGAATGGTGAGGGCCTCATTTTGCATCCAAATACAGCACCAATTGACAGATAGAAGTCCTTCACAGTGACCAGAGGGATTATGAGCCGTTCCTCTTCCAGAACAGTGTCCAGGTCACTATATGATGCTGGTGGACTCGCTCCTCCAAAACACCTCAATAATATTCAGATCTGGTGACTGTCAGACCATGGGAGATGTTCAACGTCACTTTCATCTTCATCAAACCCTTCTGTCACAAGTCTTGCTGTGTGTGTTGGTGCATGATCATGAGCATCAGGTGCTCATGATCCTCCAGAAGGGTTTGGTAGTCCTCGGCAGTGTTGTGTCCATCAAATACAATCAGGATTGTCATGATATTGGAGCTCAAACCATCACTGATCCACCCGTGCTTCACTCTGAAGATTGGCCGCCAGGCATATAGATGTGAAACCTCCAACATTGGCCAGTGTTTCAGTTTCATTGTCCAACCCCTGTATATTCCAGGTGTTTATCCTTGCAAATTTTTTTTTAAATGTAGGGGGCATGACAAAAAAGTATGGGAACCAATGCAGTAATTAATTTACATTTGTAGTGTGTTTTTATTTAAGCTAGTCCCTTTTTTTAAGACGGCACCCTCAGAATTGGGGCAAAAGGTTTTCAATGGCATGTTGTTGCTGGTTGTGTTTTATACTAAATACAAAATACTAAATATATATATATATATTATAATACAAAAAAATATATCATACTTTTTTTTTCCCTTACTTTTATTGACTCCAGGATTTGGGAATATCTCACCTCACACAGAGGGTGGACGTATCTTCTGTATCATCTACGCCCTGTTGGGAATTCCTCTGTTCGGATTCTTGCTGGCAGGAGTGGGAGACCAGCTTGGAACAATCTTCGGAAAGGCAATCGCTAAAGTAGAGGGTATGATTGATGTGAGTTTCTGATATTTCAGTTTTTTTTGGATATTTACACTGATAATAAATGTGCCATTTGAAATTTTCTTCTAGAATGATAATTTTTATCAAGCTTGTATATTTAAGTTCAGTGATTTTACTTAAATGGCAATGATAATTACCTATTAATTGTTATTTAAGTGAAATTACTGAACTTAAAGATACAAGTTTGATAAAAATCATCATTAAAGAAGAAAATTTCAAATGGCATTTAGAGGCTTTTGCATCTGAACTCTTCAAATATTTGTTTCGTCTGTACAAAACCATTTTACATTTATATAATTTACTGATATCTTCAACCCTGTTCCTGGAGACCGAATGTCCTACAAGATTTATTTCCAACCTGTCTGTAATTTTCAAGCGATCCTGAAAACCTTGATTATCTAGTTCAGGTGTGTTTGATTAGTGTTGGAGTTAAGGCAGGATAGCGGGACTCCAAAAGCAGGGTTGAAGACCTCTGATTTACAGTATACAAGTGAGTGCAGTGTAATATCACTAAGATGTCAAATGATTATACATTGTATCACCTCTCAATACATTATTTCTAAGTTGACAAATACTGACAAAAATGTCCTCTTATAAAAAACTAAAAACTAATAGAACAAACAAAAAATAGGAATTCAATGCAACAATAGTGAGCACACCTGTGATTACTGAAATAAGTACTTAGAAATGATATGGATTAACCCTTGAACACCAGAACATTAGCCGCTTTGCGACCAAGTAGTTACAGGAACTTAGTTATAGGAACTGTCCACTTCTAAACAGTTCTACGAACTACTCTCCCCCAAACTCGGTTTTGCTGCTTGCGTTCGCACTGGCCAAGTGGCCATAGGAACTGGTAGGAGGGGTAACGCAAACACGGCGACGGGCTTTATAGCGTCATCATCACTAGACGTAGAGGCTATTGCAATGTTTCTGTTCTGCCTTGCCGGGACCTTAATAACGGAGAACGAACGGCGGTGTTTAAAGATTATGCTTGAGTTCTGTACAGAGAAACACAGAAGACGACGGCTCCAGCGTAATATGATATTAAGTAATATGATGGAAGACGATAAAAGAGCAGAGCGCAGGAGGCAAACAAAACGACGGGTAAGATTAGCTAGCATTAGCAATTAGCTGGTTGAATGCGTTATGTTTGTCTTAATCCTTAGTTGTAATGTTTTGCAAAAACACACAGCGTATGGCAGACAGCGCGCTACAAGTTCCGTGTTGACAGTGGGTATGACTTATAAGTTCAACCAATCAACGTAGACGTAGGGAAAGGGAACTAAAAAAGTCCTCGCTCTAGACTAGGTACAGAAAGAGTTATAGGAACTACGGTCTGAGGAACTAAAAAATCCCCAATTTCGTCCGGTCGGAACACGAGAAAAAAAGGGTTATAGGAACTGCAAAAGTCCCTCCGGTCGGAAAGCGGCTATTGATAGCTTTGAACTCATGGCCTTGTGTCCATCTGCATGTCTGCACTATGGCTGCAAAGAGGAAGTAAAATATAGTTGAAATACAATAATCAGTTGCCATCCTCTTGAAATGATGACATGGACAATATGCTTGCACTATCTAGCTCTGAAAAACAGACAGGCAAGTGCTTCAGACTTTGCACAGGGGTTATCAATGGAGTTTCTGTGACAGCTCAGATAGTGCAAAGGATATTGCATAATTATCTCTATGGATGGTGTCCAAGGAAAAAAAAAAACTAGCTTCCTCTTCATCAAAAAATGTCAAGATCAAACTTGTGAAATAAAGAACACAAAAAGAAGCCTGATGAATATTGGGAGCACATTCTGTGTACTATCCCACTTATTTACATGCTACCTTATGGGTGTAGGTGAACATATGTAACATTGGAAACGATGAGTGGCGAGAAAATGGAAAAAAAGAGACAAGCAACATAAATACTGTATGCTAAGCCAGGAAGTACAAACTAAAAGTCTATAAAACAGAACCTGACAGATAACATTTTCAATAATCTCAAATAACTGATATTACACAGGGGTGTAGCCAATTCTGGTGTATACTGTACATGCCTGAGATAGTGAATCTAATTAACTATTTCCTCATAGAACAGATGTTTTCCATTTATAGCCACTTCAACCTGTGTACACATGTCTACACTTATGGTCCTTTCTCTCCATTCATTCAAGAGATTAATAAAGTTCAATAGTAGCTGTATGTCACATAAATTCCAAATAATTATTTCATCTGTCTGCTCCTAACCTAACACAGACCTTCACAGGTAATAAAATCACTTTCAAATTTTATATATTTGCTCTCCATTGACTTGTTTGTTGACTGTTTGTACAACAAAATCAAAGGCGTTCCACAGAGATATGACAAAGCCTGTCCCATAATTTAATCTGCCTTTAGTTCTTAAAATACCACTTTAAAAAACACACTTCAAAATGTATCACCGATGATTACTAGAGTGTTCTTGACACAAATGTTCCATTTCATCTTCTCTTTATTTAAAAAAATATGACATTACCTTTTTAATGACTCCCCCTAACCACCCTGACAGCATAATGCAGTACTTATCCTGCTGAAGTCAATGTTGATTTGTTGTTATTTCTCTTTTACGTGGCCATGTGTAAATGGTAAAAATGTTGTTTCAGTGTGATATTGACCCACACTGGGTGACAATGAAAATCAAGTGTGGCATCAGATCTGTCATGTTAGTCAAGCTCACATCAGTGACTCTCAGCTGATCCACACCCAGACAGCAAACTGACATTGAATCAACGTGGAAACGACGTCTCTCGTGACATTGAAACAACGTTGATTTTGCTCATCGAATTAACGTTGAACCAACGTCAGACGCGGCATTCTTCAAAGCTAAATGAAAATCGAAAATTGGTTTGCTTTCATAACGTTGAAACAACGCGTTGATTTCAAGTTGATTTTCCGTTAGTTTTGAAAGAATGACACGTCTGACGTTGGTTCAACGTTAATTCGATGAGCAAAACAATGTCAGATCAACGTTGTTTCGATGTCATATTTCCACGTTGATTCAATGTCAGTTTGCTATCTGGGCATCTACCTATAGGAATATGACACCTATCACTGTATTCATATATAAGCTCCTTCAAGAATTATCAACTGCTATCGCGTCCTAATGAGCTAATTCCCTCCTCTATCCCCAGCACCTCCTCTAGCCCAGTCAGGATTTGGCATTCTGATTCCCCCTGAATTAGAATAAATTCTTGAATTATGTTGTACTTTAATCTTGAATGAATGATATCTGCAATGCATTCATGTTGGCTCAGTTCTGTTTACCTCAAGGCGGGTTATTACTGCTCTCCCTGCTCTTATCCATGCTAGGTTGAGTTTTTGCCCAGAACAGGACCACACCCCCAACTCTAACTGAATGATAATTGTCAATCATATTTGACGATAATGGTCGTGACAGAAAAGCACAATGTGTGAAAAACAACAACATGAAGCAGCAGGAGAAACATATCTCTCTGAGACACAATTCCCTGGTACATAAACTAATGTTAAATCCGGTTAATTATGTGTTAAATATTTTTGGTTTAACACATTTGAAAATATTTAATCATTTGGCAAGCATGATCACTTTATCTGGATTCTGCTCACCAGCTCCGTAAAGCGAGATGGAGTGGCCGAGACAAGCTGTCAGTAACGAGCTTGACTCAAGGATTAAGACACAAAGGTATATCCAACCCGATCTCACGACCAAGTCGTACGAATTCGACGAATGATTAAAAAGTGGCTAATTCGTAACAATTCATACGACCTCACTCGTACGAATTAATACGATTTTGCTAAATCGTACATATTTTACGAATTGGCCAATTCGTATGAATTCGTACGAATGACCTACCCCTTACCCCGCCCCTAAACTTAACCATCACGTGGGTTTAGACAAATCGTACGAATTAGTACGAGTGAGGTCGTACGAATTTGTACGAATTAGCCACTTTTTAATCATGCGTCGAATTCGTACGAATTGGTCGTGAGATAGTGTTGGTATATCAGCGGAAATGCATTTAAATACTTGCGATTCCAGCATTTCTTCGAGTGAATAGATTGATAGATCACATCATTTTGATACCAAATGTTTTAGCTAGTCATTTTCCTACTTATTATGAAAAAGAATGTGCAAAATAAACTAAGTGGGGGAGAAATTAGCGGACAGCTCTCGTTTAAACAAAGAGATCTGATATTGACAGAGAAATAGTACTGTACACACTGATCAACCACAAACATTAAAACCATCTGCCTAATATGGTGTCTTGTGGCACATAATGCCAAGACATTAGCAGCAGATACTTATAGACCTGTAAGTTGCATTGTGGGGTCTCAATTTGACCTTTTTCAAGGTCAGAATTATTTAGAATTTTTGTAATCTGGTCAGCTGATTGCATCCGAAGCATCACCCTTCGTTCCCCTGTGGAACTCATAAAGCATAAAGCATGCAGTTAGAAGTGCACTCTCTAAACCACCACCAGAATACCTTTGGTAATATTCTAAACAAAACAAAAAAAAAGAGTCCAAACAAGATAGAAAAAGATTGAACTGTCAGGCATTTGTACATTAACATTTGTTTTGTAAGATGTTGCATTACAAATAACTGTCACTGAAAATATTTAGTAGCAGGAGAAACAATGTTGTTTATAGTCTCAAACAGAGCTTTAGGATTCCTTTTTGCAGGCAGATATCAGTTTCATAAAATAAAAAGATCTAGCATCCTTGATCATCTCGTTTAGATCTGTTAAAAGCTCTTTAAGATGCAGGCGGCGTACTTGAAGCTGGATCGCTTTCCATAAACGCTCAGCCTTCGGACAGACACGTCTAAAGCAGCGGTTGGCGTCATTTATAATATTTACAGAGATGTTTAACTGCCGTAATTTCTCAAGTCTTAAAAGGAGCCACTCTATTGTTCTTTAAACGACTGTACAAAAGCGTCAATGTCATTTGAAATAATAAGCTTGAGTCAAAAGCGGCTGAGAAGTTCACAA